GAAATAGAAGAATCAAGTGCATTAAACATATATTCTAACACAATCTTGTTCATGGTAAATAATCTTTTGTTATTTTTACTCCACTTGGATTTCTCCATAGTGGGTACAATATAAGCATTATCAATAACTTCCTATAAATCAATATTTTTAGATTGCACAAATAATTTGAATCTAAAACACCATTGAGCATAGGGGAAAGCATTGAATTTAGGAGCAACACTAGAATCATAGCCTAAACAAGATGCATCATTCATATTCATAATTTGTAAAAATATGCAAGCAAGATACAAATACAATCAAAACAAGATTAGCACAAAAAGATAACTTGGATCTTTAACTCAAGGCGATTAGACCTTAAATCAAGGAGCACCAAGCTCTGATACCAATTGTTAGACCCTAGAGGGGGGTGGTTAGGGTCTTATGCTAATCTAATCCGATTATGCCAATTAAAATTAATTAACAAGTTATCATAGCAAGTATGAAATGCAATAATATATATATGAGCTAGGATAAGCAATATACACAATGATATATCCTATATGATAGAGCTATATGCAAGGATATATAAACAAAACAAGGGTAAATAATCTAAACAATATAGTGGATGAAATAAATGAGTAGTGCACAATTGGCGATATAAGATAAATGCAAAAACAAATACGCCAAAGACAAACTCAAACAAGCAATATGATCACGGAGTTCGGACCTTCCGTCCTACGTCTCCGCTCCCCACTCCCGGGGAGAAATCCACTAACTCAACCGGGTTTTCTACGTTCACCCGAATAACGTTTACACCTCACAGTATCGGTTTTCAACGCTCACCGATCAACGTCACTCCTCACAATCAGTTTTCTAGTTCACCGAGCTCGGTTACAACCTCTCCCTAGGCACGTCAACCGACGCCACTCCTCTTGGGACGATCCCCGACTCTCACCACACACTCCTCACTCGGTGTACAAGTGTATTACAAAGTGAATCTCACAATAAGGCTCAATACAATAATTGATTGTTCTCAATTATGGATGAGAACACAATGAAAGCACAACTCAAGGTTACAATTTCTCACCACCCAACTATACTATGTATGAAAGATACAATAAGCTCAATGTGGGTGTGTGTAACAATGAGTAAAATAAAATCTAACTCAATTAGCAAACTAGCAATAATAAGAATATGAAAATCAATAATGAAATTGTTAGAGAAAAGAGTTAGAAAACTTCTCTATAAACACAAATAAGAGGATGAAGAGGATTGAGAATGAATCCCTCAATCTGCAGTGAAAACTTCCTCCTTTGTAAACAGAAACCTAATCTTTAAACAAACAATAAAACCCTAAACCCTTGTTTTAAAAACTTTGTTTAAAACTCTTCTTAATTGACTGAAAACTGAGATCAAAGAGGGTTTTTATAGCCTCCAAAACCTCAGACCAAAACCCCTTACAAAAAGACCAAAAAACCATCAGCAACGGCTCAAAAAAGAGCCGTTAGGACTCCAGCGGTCGACCGATAAAAATCGCGGTCGACCGCGAACAAGTTCAGGAACTCAGGAGACATCCAGAGAGTCCGTCGGTCGACCGGCGGAAATTTCGGTCGACCGGCGGTACTGTAGCAGGTATATCCGAGTTTATAAAATCAGTTAAAAATAGTAAAACAGCTCCAAAAATTATGAAATTTTGAGGAAAGGTTCTGGACTTGTATAAACATATGTTAGAGAAAGAATTTCTGAAAAATCATTTCCCAGTTGAGAGAAATAAATGTTTGAACACAAAAATACAGTTTCTGAAAATCTGCTGTGATACACGATTTTGTAAAATCAATTAGGCATAGTAAATCAACTCCAAAAATAGTAAAATTTTGAGGAAAGTTTCTAAACATGTAGATAAACATGTCAGAGAAATAATTTTTCAAATATCACTTCCCATTTGAGAAAAATCATCAGTTTTGTAAAACATGCACGAACATGTGCACGAACGAAAACGTGAATTTGTAAATTCCTTTAAACATAACAAATCAATTCCAAACTTGATGAAACTTTGAGAAATGTTTGAAAATGATATTTTGAACATGTTACAAAAAGAATTTTCCAATTTGCATTTTCCAATTGTGAAATCTCATTATTTTGCAAAAGTGTTCAAAACATGAAAACCCAAAACCTTGCATGTATATATATAAGTATATATATACATAGAAACCAAATACGTGTGTGTATATGATATTGAGCTTAAGGTACTTCACACATATAATATAAAACCTAAACTAGATTACCCAAGCCGATCCCGTGTATGTGTGTATATGATTGAGCTTAAAGTACTAACACACATAATATAAATTCCTAAACTAAATTACCCAAGCAATGATCTTGATCTTCAATGTAGCTCAACTTGGTACACGTTGTGGATGAAGCTTGAACTTGATCTTTAACTTTGAATTGCAAGGCTTCACCGACATTCCGCCAACCTCCATTTGATATCGTCGTTATGGCGCAATTCATCCATCCTCCAACGACGTTGTTTGTCTACAATACATAGGAAAACATAAATACTAGACAAACAACATTAGTGGTAAATTGTTTGTTAAACATCATCAAAACAAGAAGGCCAACAGCTGCAACTTATGGTGCCTCGGCTATTATAGGGGATGCTATAGCAGTTACAATGTAGTTATGTGATGATTATTTGAAGCCCACGTGGCAGCATATCAGAGATAGAACGTGTGCTGACGTGGACAAGCAGTTAAACCACGAAAAAGGTGGTTAAAAATCGTGGGAGAACAGTTTCAAGCACGATGGAACGTGCTGGTAACTGCCCCTGTGGCCGCTGCAGTCCATGCTGCCGCGCCAATAGCCGCGGCAGTGTTGGCTGTCGCGGCCAAAGAGCAGTTACTTGGTCAGTTGTTTCACCCCCGTTTCAACTGTTGTGCACTCCTACCCCTATAAATACCTCCCTAGACACGAAATAAAGAAGGGAGAGCATTTTGGACCAGAAGAGACTTGAGCTTTTGTTGATTTTAAGGAAGAAAGAGAGAATTTTCACCCTTTGACAAGCATCATTTGGTGATTCCTAGAGATCTAAGCTCAGACTTGATCTTTGGAAGAGTGAACATCTTACATCGATAAGATATTCGCTTTCAAATCTTTACTTCGATAGACGAAGGAAAGATCCCCAAACACCCTCACGATCTGTGAATCGGTGGTCAACGAGCCAAAGCACTCCCGGACGAAGGAAAGATCCCCAAACACCCTCACGATCTGTGAATCGGTGGTCAACGAGCCAAAGCACTCCCGACACAGGTAAAGTCCCACAAAGCAGGAGTTGATAAACAATTTCTGTGTTATTTTCTCGAGAGTTGTATTTTCGTTTATTTTCATTATAATTTCCTGTAAACACGTCAAAGTTTTAATGGAATCGACAATGGAGTCAACTTTCGCTGAAAACAATACCCTTCAAAAGAATCAAACAATTTTCATTTCAAATGGAATTCAGAACGTCCATGAATCACCTCAATTAACACTAACATAAGTTATATTTATCAAAGAAGCACCGACTGAATCCACCTAAAGAATATATTGAACAACTTTGTTCCAATCAAAGAAACATTCTTCATGGAAGATAAAAAAATAAAATGTCATGACTCTGTGTAAGCAAAAAATTATAAAATCACTCTTTTTTCTTATATAATATCACGACCCTGTGTATGACTTTATTTAGGGGTATGACTACTAATGAATGATCAATTCTTAAAGACACGATCGAAGAACTTTGTTTTCTTTTTTATAACTCACAAATAGTAGATCACGTGGCCACAGTCTGGGTTGAAGGAAACAATGACAATATTTTATTTGAGAGATAAATTATTAAGTTGATGATCAATCCCACAAAGAACTTTGTTTTCTTTTATTCTATTTTTATCAATTTAAATAATCATGATATTCAACCACGTACATTACACATGCATCTCATCTAAAAAGCTCAGATCCCCAATTCCTCTTCCTCCCCCAAGCTCAGATCCTCAAGTCCTCTTCCTCCCCCAAGCTCAGATCCTCAAGTCCACTAAAAGAGCCCCAAATCTCCCCCCAAATCCCACCATTTCGTCGATCTCTCTCAGGTCGATCTCTCTCAGATCCCCGACATTCGAAGACTAAAAGAGCCGCCACGATTCCTCTCCGCTCCCTCTCCGTCGCGGGTGACCCCAGACCTAGCAGCGCACCGCCACCTCTCCGCTCCCTCTCCGCTCCCTCTCCGTCGCGATCGAGCAGCGCTCTTCCCTCGCGATCCAGTCCAGCTCCACGAGATCCACGAATCTCTCCTCCACGAGCTCCTCCCCCGCCAATGTAGGTCATTTCCTATTTTCTCTCCAATTTTCCGTTCATCAGTACATCGCCCATTAATTTTCCATTCATCAAGAGCAGATTGGGCCTTTACGTCTCTAGTTTAGATAAGGATTTCGGGTCAAGGCGAGGGTTCCGTAATCGAGCCCCAGTTTATAGCAAAAATGGGTTTTGCGTAGAACCTTGGAGCTAATTAATGACCGTTAATTTTCAGTTCATGCATGAGAAGTTTCTAGACTTTCAATGGATCCAAACTAAATTTAGGCTGCCGTTTGGTTTTGGTAGGGTTTGGTTGTGTCTATTAAGGAGTTTGATTAATTGGTTTAAGTTTCTAGACTTATGAATTCTCTTTAATTATTTTCGTAAGAGAAGAGAAGAGGGGAAGAAAGAACAACATGGCCGGAGTAGGAAGTGCTAGGATTTATAACTTTAAGAGAGAAACTTTTATAAGAAGTTGTATTTGTATAAATTAATAAGCCAGCAAAAAGTTTGCAATACACTATATAGAAAAATTACATGAGTCAATCATGATAACAGTTAAAAATTACATGAGTCAATCATGATAACAGTTCGTTTGCATGCATTATAGCCATAAAACTAAATAATTTTGTGTAAATTCATGTATTTTTCTTGATGAATCCATGCATCTCTTTTACAGCAAAAAAGTGTTCGAAATGGGAGAATCAAGTGCTAGTGGAATTGAAATTTCTGCCAGTACAGAAAATGCTCCTAAGCCACTACTCGGAATGAAATTTAATACTTATGAAGAAGCTTATAACTATTATAACCATTATGCATTGTTGATGGGTTTTGGAATACGGAAGAGCATAGACAGAAAGTTTGTTTGTGATAAGGAGGGCTATAGATCTAATAGAGATAAGATGGAGATGCCTTTTCGGCGAGAGACCCGAGTAGGATGTAAGGCAATAATGAGAGTTAAAGTGTTGGAGGACAAATCGTGGGAGGTCACGGGGTTTGTTGAAGAACATACAAATCATGTGTTGAGTAGTCCAGACAAAGCAAAGTTGCACAGATCACACCAACAATTCCATAAACTTCAAAGTTGTAAAAAACTTATTGAGAGTTTGCAAGAAGAAGGTATGCCTCCATCCACTATTTCTCGCGTCATTAACGCAACCACTGGAAGAGAAGGCGAATTAGTGACACCACAACAGTGTATTGATCACATCAGATACCAAAGAGTCAACAATATTGGCCATGAATGCATATCTATCATAAAACATTTTCAGAGTATGACAGCAAATGATCCAGAATTCTATTTTGCAATAGAAGTGGAAAGTAGTGGACAAATGAGGAGTGTTTTCTGGGCTGACGGAAGATCAAGAGCGTCTTATTTGCAATTTAGTGATGTTGTTGTGTTTGATGTGACATACAAAACTAATAAGTTCAGTCTTCCATTTGCTCCATTTACTAGTGTGAATCATCATAGGCAGTCCACTTTACTTGGTTGTGCATTATTAGCTGATGAACAAGAAGATACATTTGTGTGGTTATTTGAAGAATGGCTTAAATGCATGCATGGGGTTGAACCAGGTGCTATTATAACAGATCAGGATAGAGCCATGTGCAATGCTATTCACTCTGTGTTTCCAATGACAAGACATCGTTATTGATTTTGGCACATGCAAAAGCATATTACTGATCATTTGCCTACTTTGGTTTCTCATTACGGTGAACAGTTTCAAATGTATTGGGGCTTATAGTGTAATAGTTCTTCAATAGAACAGTGTGAAGGATATTGGCTAGAGATGAAGGAGAAGTTTGATATAAATGAAGAAGAGGATGGATGGTTGCAAACTGTTTACAAATATCGAGAACATTGGGTGTCATGTTATTTGAAAGATACTTTTTTTGCTGGAATAAGATCGAGCCAAAGAAGTGAAAGTATAAATATATTTTTTGATGGGTATGTTAACTCACAGACTCAATTACACGAGTTTGTTCTATAATATGAAAAAGCATTAACTCATCGTCGCTTAAGTGAAGCCCATGAAGATTTTAAGAGTCTTAACACAAAACCTATCATGCTCCTTGGACATCCGATTGAGGTACAAGCTGGAGAAATGTATACCCGCACAATGTTTGATGTGTTCCAAACTAGGATTTACAACAGAGTTTTGTGAAGAATTGAGAAAAGATGGGGACATTGTTGAATACAAGATTTGTAAGTTTGCAGATAGATCAAAAGGGGAGCTGGTTACTTATGACCAATCCAGTAAGATACAATTTATTTGTACTTGTGCTTTGTTTGAAACTAATGGTGTTGTATGTAGACATATATTGTCGCTAATGATGGCTAGCCAAATTTCTTCATTACCCGACCATTACATCCTACACCGTTGGACTATACATGCTAGACATCGTAACATTGGGGTTGGCAATATTGTATTTGGAAGAAACATCACAAGCTGTGAAGAGAAGATTAATTTGTTGAAATCTTGGGCTTTAAGAGCAAAATTCAATAATGCGCTCGAGCTTGCATTTGATTCAGAAGAGAGGATGCAGAAATTAGACAATGTGTTAACAAAATTCATAGAAGCATTTGAAGAAGAAGTTAGAGAAACAGAAGATATTCCTCAGATTTGCGCACCCATTTCACATACAATTGAGCACATTCCTCAGATTACAGTTCGTGATCCTAAAAAATCTGCAAGGACTAAAGGTCGTCCACGCAATGCTACTAGAATTCAGTCAGGTTTAGAACAAGCACAACAAAATAAAGAGAGGAAGAAGCGTATATGTAGCAGATGTGGTGAACTCGGGCATTATAGAACTAGCTGTAAAGTCAACTTGCCAAGGTACAATTACTTTATTTTTCATATGTAGCTTTTTTGTGAATTTCTTATATGTTTATCTTTTTTCAAGTTTGAATTTGTCTTATATCATGCACAATATCTGATGATGTGGTTGATCTAATGATGTAATGATGAGTCCACAAATATCTATGAGATCTATGCCATCTCCAGCTATTCTGCCCTGTGCTGTATTTATTTCATCGTTCCAAAGTGCATCTAACTGCTATATATAAATAAGTAGTTTATAGATTGTGATAATTAGCTTATGTTTCATCTACATTTCCTTTTTGTACATTTTACAGGTGAAATTCGGGGTGCTTTCCAATGATGAGATTACTCTTATGCCCCCCCCCAAGTTTCTGCATGACGAAGATGATTGTTTCTTGCAATATTTCACTTGTTGTGTGTTGTTTTCAAGAAGATTCTTGAAGAAGTATTTCCGGTGTAAATGTTGTAGTAGTTGTTGAACAATATTCGAGCTCCTTGTGGTTTGTAATTTGTATGCTACTCTTATGAAGCTTATGTATCTATGAAGCTTATTTATGTTTTCTGATGCTTGAACAATAGTTGAACAATAGTTGCTGATTTATGTTTTCTTGAATAATAGTTGTTGATTTATGCTTGAACAATAGTTGAACAATACTTGAACAATATTCAAGCTCCTTGTTAAACAATAGTTGCTGATTTATGTTTTCTGATGCTTGAAATGAACGAAATAACTTGAATAAGAAAATGTCAAATTCAACTGATTGTATGAATGATGACGTTTATTCACATTAACCGTGTCCAAAGAGAGCGTTTGGTTCGGTGTTAATGCAGGGATTGCGAATGCATTTTGCATTGTTGCATAAATCCCGCCATTTTGCATCCTAGTGCCACTACTTGTTTCGTCGCAACAATTGAACACAGTAGCAGAAAGACTCACGGTTGCACCCAACAAGTTGCACTGATTAGCTCATAAACAGGGTGGATAAGTGTCAGTTTGTAATAAAGCTTACCCAGATCAACATTTTGTTTCATCAGTACTCAATATAATTCCCATCCATGTAATAAATGACTGATACATGCCTGATCAACATTTTGTTTCATCGGTACTCAATGATTAAACCTCTGAACCAACCATCCAAATACATCCGAGCACTGAAACCAGAACATGGACATCCACAATACATCCAGAGTCAGCATGAGTAGAAAAGAGGACTAGTGAAAATGAAATTCAGTGTTTAGAACAAAGAACCAAAGTTGCCTGAGTAGATGCAATTCTTCAAAATGCTTAAGAGTTGAAGGCCACTTAGGCATGATATAACTAAACACCATATAAACTCAACAAACCAACATCCAATTAAGTACAAAATCATGATACAAACTGACCACAACCCATTTCAAAATAGACAAACCAACAAACCAACAAAATCATGCACAATCTGACCACAACCCATCAAATTAAGTACATTGAAGAATCATGCACGCATCACATCACATGTTTCCCCTAATAGAGAAACCAACAAATACTGCAACGATAAATACTAGAAATATTAAAATTGTAAACACTGAACCTAATACAAAAACATATATGGAGGAAATAGCAGTTTCCCCATGTTTTCCCTTGTCCTCGAGAAGGTTATGCCCATCTGGAAACATTTGTTCTTGAACACAAACATGTGGTTGCACATGCCTTGAGCTGGATACTGAATCACGTTTGCTTAAGTGCTTCTCCCATTCACTCAAAGCCTCTTCATACGTTGCATATCCTTTGTACCAAGCATTTGAGAATCTATCAACTTGAGATTTGCATTCCTCCCAATTATAAAAAATGTCACAACGTCGACCTCTCTTTACAACATAAAAACTCTTTCTTGCCATTTTATCACCTGCAATAAAAGACAAGTGAATATTGATATATAGATGTGGCTATTGCCTCTCCAATGCTTGTCTGGAAAATAAAACTGAAGTGATCGAATATGTATAAGCCAGGTTAGAGATTCTGCCAACCTTGTTCCAAGCTTTTAAACCCAAAATCCACATTAATTAAAGCAGTCAATGACCACGTACAGTAAGAACAATGCACATTTAACAACCATAGAAGACATATCAAAGACTCCTAATTATCCTTCTTTATTTAGAAGCCTTTTAAGACATCACAACCAAAATACTGAAATAAAGGCACCAAAACGCAACTCCTACTACTAGATATTCAAGATAGAATATCATAACTTGCAAGATGTAAGGCCACTTGTAACTAAAATTTATCATACTACATGCTGCATAAATCCATACCGAATTCAGTTTACTTCCAGTTCACATCCTACTATTGCACACAAGTTACCCACGCAGGCACAAAATATTGCGCACGCAACACTAAGTATCAAAAAAACCAAAACAGAACATGAACATTTAAAGCCCACAAGGTAGAAGCATTCTGTAGGGTTTTTATCTGCATCTCAAATAAAAAACTGACCACAATTGAGAGTTCAAAACAGCAACGATAGCAACCAGCATAAGAATAACAAAGGGAACAACCTAGAGCGCACAATGTTCTCTTCTCTATTCAATATTTAAGTTGAATCGTTAATCAAATTAAATTAAATCAAAGCATCTCTCTTTTTTCAAGTTTTAACATCTATTAATTAGTTCCATTATCTCTTTTTTCAAGTTTCTGATATAAACTCAATGACCAGCTACAAACCTTTTTAATTATAGTCAAAATTAACACTGAGGTAGAACCAAAATCATTGTTTCTAACTCATTATAGAATGATGGAGTACCTTGTAAGCGGTCACAGTTCTCGGTCAGGGGTCACCCGCGATGGAGGAGGACTGCCCAGCGGGTGGCGGGGGACTGGAGCTCGTAAAGAGAGATTGGGGGACTGGAGCTCGTTGATCGGGTGCTGGGCAGCGCTTGGGGGCTGCGGAGCTCGTCATAGAGAGATCGAGAGGATTCGTGGCGGAGGACTGGAAATCGTGGCGAGAACTGGAGCTCGTGGCGGTGCGCTGCTCGGTCGGTGGCGGTGCGCTGCTAGGTCTGGGGTCACCCGCGACGGAGAGGGAGAGGAGAGGAATCGTGGCGGCTCTTTTAGTCTTCGAATGTTGGGGATCTGATAGAGATCGACCTGAGAGAGATCGACGAAATGGTGGGATTTGGGGGGAGATTTGGGGCTCTTTTAGTGGACTTGAGGATCTGAGCTTGGGGGAGGAAGAGGACTTGAGGATCTGAGCTTGGGGGAGGAAGAGGAATTGGGGATCTGAGCTTTTCTTGAGATAAAGTTGGGGATTTTAATTTTTTGGGAGAGAGAGCAGCGCTTTTGTCGAGGAATCGTGAATTTTTTCAGAAAAGCCCAAGCAGCGCACGCTCAGGAGAGCTGGGCAGTGCTTCTACAGTTTTCTCTATATATATAGGAAATGACCTACATTGGCGGGGGAGGAGCTCGTGGAGGAGGGTTTCGTGGATCTCGTGGAGCTGGACTGGATCGCGAGGGAAGAGCGCTGCTCGATCGCGAGGGAAGAGCGCTGCTCGTGGCGGTGCGCTGCTCGGAGCTGGGCAGTGCGCTGCTCGGAGCTGGGCAGTGCGCTGCTCGGAGCTGGGGTCACCCGCGACGGAGAGGGAGCGGAGAGGAATCGTGGCGGCTCTTTTAGTCTTCGAATGTCGGGGATCTGAGAGAGATCGACCTGAGAGAGATCGACGAAATGGTGGGATTTGGGGGGAGATTTGGGGCTCTTTTAGTGGACTTGAGGATCTGAGCTTGGGGGAGGAAGAGGAATTGGGGATCTGAGCTTTTGGTGAGATAGAGTTGGGGATTTTAATTTTTTGGGAGAGAGAGC